TCAGTTTTGTGTAAAAAAGTTAATAAATTAAATATATTTAGTAACACAAAGAAAATGGAATTGTGGCAAATGGTTTTCCACACCAACTCTGCTTGCCTGTAGCTAATGTTTTCTTGTAGCGTCTCGTAAGCACCTTCCACATGCACTATGCACTCAAGTCCAACAATTACTAAAAATACTCAAATATCCAATGAGAAAATGCCATGGAAGTCAATTTCAAAGGGCATTTTCGACATTGCACACGCATGCAACGGATATAAAACGCGCTATAGTCCCCTCTTTCAAGTTTAGTTGCAAAAAACACCTAGAAGCGACACCCTGATCACGATATCCCAATTCCACCACCACTTTCTGTAAATCCTATCCTCCTTCTCCGGTGAACTCTTGTTTAAGCTCCGGCGACCTTTCCCTCTCAATTTCCATGGAGGTTTTGGAGCGTTAGACTGGTACTCTATACTATTGAACTCGTCTTAAATAAAGCTTCAATATTACTATATATATCTCTCCGCCATAACGGTAGTTCGGGCAACCTGGAAAAAATCGGTGGTGGTGTGATGGGATTTTGTATATGTCCTTTGGAGGTTCCGGCGAGGTTACTTTGGAGCACCAGTTTTTTCCGCCACAAGATTATGATTTTCTAATTAGTTCCACACCCACTTAAAACAAAGTACATATTAATATTCACTCTATAAGCAAGAATCAACGGCGGACATCCCACGCGCCACCCCTTCCCGCCTGCGCTCGGAGTTCACCATAGGAAGATCAAGAGATCAGTTGTTTAGCCGGAAAAGATGATGGAGCCGGGCCGTCTTCTTTGAGCCTTCGCCGTCTGTTTGCCAGCAAGGTGGTGGTGGCAACATGTTGTTCCTCGGGAATCCTGATCACGTTTTTCGAGGTGATTACTTGGTTAAATTTTGACTTTGTTAATTACATATGGTAGCTTATTATTGATTGATTAGTACTAATGTTTATGGATGTTGATTGTTCATAATGAAGGGCCAAGATCCATGATGGGTTTGATAGATCAGGAGAGCTCGAGGAGGCGACCTTTTTTCAGCTCCTCCTCGTCGCAGGACGAACTGTTCGACGAGGAATACTACGACGAGCAGCTGCCGGAGAAGAAGCGCCGCCTCACTCCTGACCAGGTTTGTACATGTCACTCGTCTTTCTACAAACAGTAGAAACTCACAAATAACTGTAAAAAGTCCGGTGACAGTAGCACGCAAGAACGATTTGTCGTGACTGACACCCATTGTGTCACCAGAACAAGAGCTAGGGTTATCTGTGGCTATCAGTGTGTTTTTTCACTAGTGTCTAATCTACATGAACTTGATTTGAACTTATTCAAGTCACATAAACAAGGATAGCGTTATCCGCATACCTATTTTTACTTTTTACACATTCCTCTCAATTTTCGGTTGTTGGATCGAATGAGTTGTAGAAAGATCAGCGACAAGAAATTAACAAGGATATGTAGAAGGTAAAAATTGATGTGTGAATAGCACTATCCTTGAACTAACTCACATCTACCTTTCTTTCATATCTATAAGTTGCCTTACAATAATATTCCTTCAACGTTAAATAAGCTAAACGCCGTTTGATAATCATTTTGTTTCTGCACTTTTTTGAAATCTGAAACCGAAATCTTGTTTGATAACTACTTTCAAATTTTTAGTTTTCAAAAAAACCAAAACTGAAAACTACTTTTTTGTTTTCGATTTTTTGATGAAATAGTTACTGAACATGATTTTATTATTTTAAAAAAGTGAAAAGTAAGAACCTAAAACTAAAAATTGAAAATTAAAATCGAAATAATTATCAAACAAACTCTAAAGTTTTTTTTTCCCTCAAACAAACCCTAAATATTTGGATATGCTCATTTTGGCTCAAATATGCAAAATATTATTCGCTTTTGAATGGATGGTGACCATAACACACACACAGACATATATATATTTGTATATATTCTGATGCTGGCATATTCATCTGTTCAGCATCGATTCATCAGATGGTATCTGATCTATCTCAACTTTGTTCTCTTCTGTTTGACTTTATTATAGTAACATGCAATCAAATCATCATTTATGAATATGATCATAGTAATAAAACCAATCTGATGGCTGTAAATTAATCATGTCACTGTTACGAGATCACAGAGTATTGATTCTTTTTAATCAAAATGATTAGGTACATATGCTGGAGAAGAGCTTTGAGACAGAGAACAAGCTGGAGCCGGAGCGAAAGACGCAGCTGGCCAAGAAGCTAGGCCTGCAGCCGAGACAGGTGGCCGTCTGGTTCCAGAACCGCCGCGCTCGGTGGAAGACCAAGCAGCTCGAGCGGGACTACGACCTTCTCAAATCTTCTTATGACACCCTTTTGTCTAATTACGACTCCATCCTCAAGGAGAATCAGAAACTCAAATCCCAGGTAATCATAATTCTGAGTTCATTCCCAAAATATTCAATATTCTTAAAATACTTTCGAAGTCGATATTATTTGAAAGAAAATTATTATTAGTACTTCAAAATATTTATTGTGCAATTCAATAGCTATCTTATAAGATTGATAATAATATATTATTTTTATTGTTCCAACAATTATGTATTGTATTCTTTTAGTAGAGAGATTTTTACTGTGCCGAGAATACAGCTCGATACACCAAGTGTTAATAATAAAAGTGGTTAAATACTTAAAATAAAAGTTTTCAACTATTTGTATTATGATACTTAGTATATCGGATAATGTTTCCGCCATACTGAAATGGAGAACATGCACTAAGCTAAAGCAAATGAAATTTGCTGTGGTCCATACATATCAGATTCGAAAATAATATACACCTTTCCATCCAATATAGCATAAGTTTCAAACCCCACTGTGAATATAAAAATAAAAGGCCACTTTCTGAGTCACAGATCGAATATACTATGGTATTTGTTTCCCGAGTTATATATAAAAAGATGCACGATATAAAATGGTGAGTGGACTTTTCATCATCATTCCTCCTTATTAAGTATTTTTGTGAGACAGGCTTTCATGAAACAAGTTTATTGTTACAATAATTTCTCCGACTACAAATACAATATTATGTATACATGATTTTATATTAGTAGCCACCACAAACGTCACACTAGCGGTGAACTCATTCCATGAGATCATTTTCCATATACTTTCCCTTTAAATAATATTCGTAAGGTAGCTTCCAAATCGAAGTGTGAATGTTTCTTAGAAGTGCCACACAGTTGTTTATATGATTTAATTACTATAAAATTAGGGAATTGTTATTAGCACTTCAAATATCTCATTCTACACTTCAAACATTCTATATTAGGAAAGAAAAATATACTTGTGAGGAGTGTAGAATGAGATTTTTGGAGTGCCAATAACACTTCCCTAAAATTATTTGGAATTGATTAAATATATTAAATAAATAAATACAGGTGGTTTCCATAAACGAGAAGCTTGGAGGTAAAGAGGAGGCTAATAGCACAAAAGCAGCAACATTTGCAGGGGCTGACCACGATGACGAGAAGCGTGGCCCTCTTCTTCCAGCGGGCGATCAGATGACGGAGGTTGTTCCAATAACTAGTCTCCAGCACAGTTGCACCATCAAGGCGGAGGACCGCCTGAGCTCAGGGAGCGGAGGAAGTGCCGTGGTGGACGAGGCCGAAGGCGCTCAGCCTGTGGACAGCGGTGACTCCTATAATTTCCCAAACAACATCCATAACGACTACCCTCATGATCATGATACCCATCATCATCATCATCAATATGTGGCGCCACATGATCATGTAGAACATCATCACAGCGGAGTCCACTCAGAAGAAGATGATGGTAGCGATGACGGCCAGGGTTACTTCTCCGATGTCTTTGCAGTCGCAGCGGCGGAGCAGCAAGCAGCACAGGAGGAGGGTGTTTCTTTGGGGTGGTGGGTGTGGTCCTAGTCGCCCTAAATTGAAGTGTACTACCTATTTGCTTAAGATGGTTGCATGTATGGCGTTGCTGCGTGGGTCGATAAACATATTATAGCTACGCTTAATTACACTATTGCCCCCTGAAAGTGTTCGTTCATAAATAAAGTGTTTTCCTCATCGACTTCATATTTGTGGGCAAAGATGTCAATATAAGTCTCTTCTTTAGTCCTACAACGCTCACGTCATTCTCTGGTGACGGATCTACTGCCGGTCGCTTGGCCGCTAAAGAGAAGGGTTGGTTTCCGATTATGGCTACTAAATCGGAACAATCCCGAGTTCTTCAATGGGATAAACCACAAACTTGGAACACATTTGAGACCATCGCGAAGCAAAGCGTGTCCATCTCAGGGACCATTTTCTAAGAGGTGACCAACCTCCAAAACGTTATCAGCTAGTCTAGCCAATCCCATGTAGGGTGAACCCAAACCGGAATCAACTTACATATACAAAATCATCTGCTATATAGAAAGAACAACGAAAGACTAGCACACTGCACCGGTCATCGCCAAGGCTAGAGAGGAAACGAATTCGACACCACATGTACTCAATCAAGCGAAAAGAAACGTCCGGTCGGTTGAACAAAAGGTCCAACAGACCGGCGTGTAAAGCACAATGATGCTCAAAGAAGCTCACAAACCTAGCCTTCTTGGTCCTATGTACCTTACCTAAGTCACAGACAACATTGCCAACCAGAAGCTGAGCAATTCTAAGCAACCACATAATTCTTCCCACGAAAAATTGCACGTCATGACAATACAAACAATGCACTTCTATTACCTGTTCTCGGCTACAACAGGGAGGCTGGCAGCAGAGTGCAGCGTCCGCAGACTACCTGAATAGAAAATTGGTTGGCTGGCAAAGCACCGAGAATCAATAACCTAAGTATATCACATGTGAAAAGAGTGCCAATAGCAACACCCGAGTCCTCACCAAGTACAACAGTGAAACCCAGAGATTCATCAGCCACAAATACCTCCAGAACTGCCATTTTATGTGTGAGAGAGAGAGAGAGAGAGAGAGAGAGAGAGATGTATAAAGAATGAAAATATTGACTAAAAACCTGCCTAGCTCAACAGCTCAACATTTGCCAATTTTTTTTTCTTTTTTGTTTTCTGTCTTTTTACACCAAGTTCCCACTTCCCACTATACCTATATATTGGTCTCGCTCTTTTCGCCAGTTGATTCCTTTTCTCCCTTTCCAAGCAACAATTCTGAAAGCTGCAGCAGAAAACATTGCAAAATTGGATCGATCTGCACATATCAAATTTGTCTGGGTACTCGAATCCTCTAAGCAGATAATGTACAAACACTGCTTTCATACTCCGCATCCAAGTTAGCATGTAAGCTTTACCTTTTATGTACAGATCAACGCTTCAGCAGCAGCAGCAGTGACCACCTTCAATTGGCCAAACTAGTTGTCTGGTTTGTTCTGGTCCAATGCCACCCAATATGTGGTGCGACGGTCATTTTCACTACCACCCACTGCTGCTTCACGTCCACCGAGAACAACCCTGTCCGGATTAATCTCCACAAACTCAGAATCACACTTCCAAAGATCAACCCTCTGTATCCTTTCTTTTCTTGTTAGATTTCCTAGTTAACCTTGTTTTTTCTGCTGAATCCAAAACTGGAAGCAGCTTCAGGTCCAGTGCGCTGCTGGGCTCCAACTTGTCGGTGAGATCTGAACTTGGATACATCTTCTCATACAGGATAGCAGCATCAAGGGAGTATATACGCAGGGCAAGTGCAGACATAGTAGAAATTTTGGCAGCAGCTGAAAATGATGACCAATACCACCACTCATTCCTTAGATACTCGGTCTTTATCATGTCCTCCAGCACAATCATCGCCTGGACCATCTGAAAAAACCAAGCATGTTTTTGTGTCATGCCAAGAAATTGACAAAGAATCGTATATATTAGGTAAATAAATGTAGCAACATCACATTTTGCAACATAACCCTTGATGTATGTTACAACTTTCTATCAGAGGGCCTAAGAATACTCCACCACATAACTAAATTAGTAACAGAACTAGCAACCTCAAATAAGCAAAGCTAGTTACTTAGCTAATAGATGGTTAATGCAAGATGCCCAAACGTATTTACTAGAATGAGAAAGATTATGAAAGTACTGTTCAAATAAAGAACGAAGGGAATTAATACTAACTTCATATATTGTCACAGCTGATTTAACAAACACACGCCAGGCCCATCTCCTTTCCAATTGTGCCTTTGATGGTCTTAGAGCTTCTTCAGCGAGTGAGGCATCAATATCAAGCAGATTGATCTTGAGTCTCCTATAAATTTGACAAACTTTGCCAACCAAGGGCCTCAAAGAAGATTGGGGGACCACACAGAAACAACCAGCCCCCACAACAGAAGAATGGCTATTTGAATGTCTTTTCTTCCCTCGTTCCAGAAATCCCAAAGCTAGTTTGTTAGCATTTAGCAACATCATTCCATCACCTGTCCTGGATAGATTGCTACTGCATGCAATATCAACATTAGTCTTTCCTTGTGAAACTAGCTGTTCAGCCGCCTCCAGTCCATGACCAGGTGCACTGACATCTTTCTGAGATAGTATCGCTAGCGTAGAATCACTCAGATAAGGAGAAGGTGGGGCAAACAATGGAACTCCTTGTGAACCTATAAGACCTATTTCCTGTATCAAATCCTTGTTTGAATCATTGGTCACAAACTTGGAACAGATCTCTTCAAAGTCATATGGGCAACCTAACATTCCGTTTTGAAACTTAATCAACTTCGCACTAAGCTCAGGACATGCACTTTTGGAAGTTTCAACACAGTTCAGTTCACCTCTGCGCTCTTCCTGATTCATCTCACACTTAGAATCACTTATTTCCTTTCCCTTCTCACAGGCTGCTGAAGCTGGAATGCACCTACCATCATCGTGCCCTTCAAGTTCAGCATCCGTGAAGAAGGTTCTGTGGCAAGATAGGCAATGGTGTCTACTGGGCCAAATGGGTTCCAAACATTCACACCGGTACCCTTTCTCATCATTGGTTACTCTAGCTCTCTTTCCCCACTTTTTGGAGATGTCGGCGGTTTCCATCTCGGAGCATGGACCATACAGCTCCTCCAGCAAAGTGGCTGCCCTAGTACCAAGACAATCAGAAATTTCAGTTTTATCAGCATTTCTAGTCACTGAAATAGTAGTTAGGAGCTCATCCTGTCCTTGGCTTCTAATTTTCTGAAACTTTCGGAATCTTGACCTTTTCCAGTGCAGAATCGAGTCCCTCAGCTCTCTTTCCTTAGGGTGCTTGTTCTTTAACCAACCTATAAGTTCTTCAATTTCTGCATCAGTTTGATAAGAAACCCAAGGGGCACTAAACGAAATGCTGTTGTTCGGTTCAAATAAATACGGACAGCCAACTTTGGACCCCTCTAACGGCAAGCTACCCATACCAGATGGCCCACAACTCTGTGCAACAGAACTCCACACAGAGTCTCTGCAATCTTTCACATTTATACCATGCTTCAATGACACACTTCGATCTACAATAATCCGACCATGTCCGCCCAGAAGAGCTGAAGCCCAGTATAAACCACCAAGGGAATCAATTCCTAGGAACTCCCTCCGAACTGACACCTTTAGAAGCTCGAATTCTGTACTGGCAATCGAATCCTCCAAAAGGGATAAATCAGTTTTGACAGAGTTCAACTCAAGGTGGTAGGATTGTGATTCATTCACAGAAGCAGGTGACATCTGCTCTCCCACATGATTACTCCTCACATCTGACGGGATACTAAGTCCTTTCTGATCTAAAGGCAGAGAAACATCCATTTCAACATCGTCTTGTGGATGACCAACACAACCTACTTCTTTACTAGGCCCATTGATTTCATGTGGCAAACAATTTGATGAAGGTAACTCGATTTGTCTAGAGGATATTTCGCTTTTATCAGAAGCCATATTTGAAGAATACTTCCCAGGTGCAGAGATGTCATCTGAAGCAGCATGGACATCTTTTTCCCTAACTTCAGTGTCTACAATATGTTGGCTATTATATTCTGCATTACTGACAGATGGGTATTTATCAATCCCTTGAGCACCCTCTAGTGCCGAATCATCAGAGACTGCATTTAAGGAGTTAGACCTGCCACTCAAAGCCTGTGATTGACGAAGACATCTTTCATTGGTTTCAACTGAAGCCGAAAGCCCTTCCCTTATATTGGCACTAGCATCGACCCTTGCAGCTCTTGAAACCAAAATTTCTTGTCTGGACCTGAGGACCTTCCATTCTACAGATAAAGAACGCAATTTCTGCTGCAATTCAGTCGATGTCTCAGAACAATACTCAAGGTGCTGACGGATAACTGCTGAATTAAGCAACTCATCACATAAGAACTTCAGCAGGAATGTTCTCTGCAAGCGCAAGCAAAGGGAAAGCTGTTAAGTTTATAAACAATGATTAAAATGACAATAATTCACCATCACAGAAGCACAAAATTCAGTGGTCCACTCGTTAGCTAGACAATAAGCGATAACAATAACATAAAAACAGAAAATCCAATAGCACAGCCACTATGTCAACAACCAGAAAAAGTCAGCCTATACGAATGCAAAGAGAGGCAAGGAGAACCACATTATCTGAAATAAAGCTTTACTTGAAGCACAAATAGGGTGATTTTGAATGGACTGCCAAATCCACAAAAATTTGGCTGGACCAACAAGACAATGCAATCACTTGTGATCAGCCATCTTGCTAGTGTGACTAGAAAAATTATGCATGAAGGCATCAATATGCAAACCTCGTCCAAGTTGATATCCCAATACTCGCTCTCTTCCATTTTCGCTGCTAAATGTGCAAGTGTCTCCAAGAAAACTCGGATAGCTTCTCCCTGGTAATTTTTACGTCGTCTTCTAATGACATGACGATGTTGCAATGCATCTTGAACAATTTGTTTAGAAACAACACAAGAGGGGCAATACCAGTTTCCCTCCGGGATCCTTGCAAGAGGAGGATTCAAACAGTAAGTATGATACTCAGCATCACAAGTATCACACAACAGTACGCTGTCGTCATCTTTATCAATGCCACATACTTTGCATACTCCCTCATCCCAAGGGGCTTTGGGAATCCCATTTGTGAAAGCAAGTAAATCATCAATTTCCTTTCTCCTTTCAGAACTTAGGCCTTCCAACTTTGAATACTCCGCAAGCTTATGAACAAGAGGGACAACCTGCATTGAAAGAACAACTGAATCTGGTACAGTACTGAATTAAATGCTTGTAATTGGATAGTGAACAACCAGCGTGCCTATGTAGGGATAAGGGATAGAAAGGTACATACCTCCTCCTCGTACAATGTTTCAAAATTTTGGGCTAACTTCTCAGTCAACTCAACCAAATCAGGCTGATCCCCATACGCAATACGTAGATTACTCCATAACTGCAAAGTGAAAGTAACGATTATAACTAATGGACTTTACCAGATTAAAAATGGGATCCACCACAATCATGAAATACCAGATATTAACTTTTAATAATATAACCATATAAATTAAGTAAACAGAAGTTTACAGCTTTAACGTTTCAGTAATGTTTCTAAGAGATGCGGAAGTGTGCAGTAAAAAATTTCAAGAAATCCAATTGTCATAGAAAACAGACCTCCCTGACATCCTCAAGAAAGGCTTCATGTGATCCCCCATAGGATCCAGCTGCCAATCTCAAATCAATAGTCCTGAAGTCCAAAGGCCGAGACACCATGGCCGGGGATCCTAGAAGACCCTCATCATCGTTATCACTTGAATTCATTAGCTTTCTTCCGAGCAAATTGCAGAAAACCTTTGTGTCATCTGCAGCAGCAGCACGACGAAATACAATGCGGCATTGTTTCATGATAACATCACAAATAGAGACATTAATCTTCCGTTTTCTTCCCTTCTCAGCCTTTTGTGGCAATGCTTTACCCGATACATCTGCTAGCAGTGACAGAACCGCTTTCTGTGCTCAACCAACAAGAAAGAATTTCTAATTTAGAATCATGCTTACCATAACCTGTTTAACAAATAAACATAAATTGGACATATAGACAGTCTTACTAACCTTAGTTTAGAAGAAGGAGCTAAATATTCAAACATTTCTTCACGGGAAAAATATGTTTAAGATGGCATAAATGAAGCAAGAAGCAAGTTAAGGAGCATTCACAATTTCATCTTGTGTACCCCAAGCAAATATGTTTTGAGATGGTTTAAAGATTCCTTCCACCCAATCAAGCAAACAAATTACATTTTACAGCAGGAATGCAAAAGAAATTGCATTTTAGAATTTTTATTTATTTTTATAAGCAAAGTTACTGCATCCTAGACCTATATGTAAATTACTGCCTCAAAATACCGTAGTTGAAAGGAGTATTATAAAACAGCAAACATGTCCACAGCACGTATTCCCAGTAAAATTCAGCCAATGCACACGTTACATTCACAATGAATCTTTGTATTCTATCATGTACTGAACCAGGAAGAACTAAGTAATAATCATGTTAATGAGAAACCACCTTCGTAGGTCCTGATGCATTGCCTTTGTAAACTTCTTTACTGATTGAATGTTCCAGTATTTTCCTCGCCCATTCAGGTGGATCCTTTTCCAAAGCCTCATAAACACATTTTCTGATTCTTGTTCCGACATTTGTCGGTAGCTTTCTAACAGGTTCCAGCACCTGCGCCCATAGCGGATTGTTACCATCATCCCCCAAATTCTTCTCGACAGCCCCTGGTCCATCAGACACCTCCTCTTCTATGGTAAGTACATCATTCCCTCTGTTAAGTGAAGCAAAAATTTGCTTCGTAGCCTCTGCAAGCAACTGAAAAGTAAAGAAACAGATTAACATGAGTTCTTGTCACCTGTCATTGTACCAGACCTACACTTGGGGCACATAAAAACAAGAAAGGAAAAAGAAAAAGATACATAATGCTCGGTACCATCAATTGGACAGGTGAAATGAATCAAACTTCCTCAGTGTAACTGACAAGACACATAAAACTGACATCCTAACAAGTACAGATACTGTTTCTATACAATAGAGCACAGTACTGTCTAACAATTTGCAATATGGCACAGGTTTTCCCAATTCAACTATTCAATTAACTAAGCCTTATGTGCAACCTAACACGTTCAAATGTTATCAGTCATATGCCACAACTGTCAGAGTGAACAGCTACAGCCGTAAGGGAAGACCAGATACATTCAAAAGCTAATCTAGATAGTATGTTGGTTCTTAAGAGGACACCTTGTTCAATCCCTTGTCGCAGTCAAATACTAAAAAAATTATGCCTGATGTTAGAGGAAGTATGGAGTTATTATCGATTTTGGGGTGATTGGATAGAAAGGAACATAATAACTTTCTCAGGAAGCTAGGGTAGGAAGTGACTTCTTTACAGGATAGAGTGAAATTTTAAGCTTCTTTGTGGACTGCAGTAGCTACTGTTATAGAAATTTCCTTTTTCCTTCATTCTGAATGGGGAGCTGCAGTTGATTAAGTTAAAGAGGTTTGTATTTTGGGAGATGGGAGTAGCTGAACTCTATGTAACCGAGATGATAGAACAAAGCTTGGTTTAGATGGGGGTTCATTTACAACAATACACAAGTAAACAGCACTAAATGATGGAATACTAAAACACCATGAAAGGATAAGAGCTGATCTTACAAGTGCATCTGCTTCCATCCCAGCTACTCCAGTTAAAGACCCACAGAGCACTCCACCATCACCTTGTAAGCAGCGAAACACTTTACTGCTTTCACGAGCAGTAATCTCAGGCGAGTCAAGGTTACCATCCATGGCTAATACAGCCAGGATGTATCTCCGTGCTAACTCTGGCCAAGTCAGTTCATTAATTGGGAGTATATTAAGCTTTGCTCTTTTCACAGGAATTGAAATATCAACATCTTTCTTCCTTCCCCGTTTTGACTTCAGATCTCCAGAATCAAAATTCGGATCTACCAGGGCAGCAACCTTAGACTGCAACTCACCTATGAGCACTCTTAGCAGTGATCTGTGAGCCTTTGTCAACGCTATGCCAGAACATCTGCTATAAGTAACAGATGCAACTTTGTCTTGAGCTGCCTCCTTCATTGCTCCAGTTTCCATATGTATGAATGCATGTGGATTATTCCTAGAAATTGTCGAGCCAGAGTCCATGGTAGAAGATAATTGAGTACTTGAATAATCAATTCCATTTGCATTTAACGCTTGAGTGCCTTGGATTTCCCTATCGAACTTCTCTGAAAAATCTGACCTGCCGAACCAAGGGTTAATAAGTTCCTCCTCAAGTTCTTCCAACGAAAAAGCCTCCTTTAGACCCAAAATTTCATCAAAGCGCGATAATAATTCCCAAACCTGAGTAGATAAAGAAAAAAGGCCAATAAGCTTCATGCCTGTCAGTCATGTGGTCACAAACTCAAAAGTAACACAACATAATAAAATGGAAAAACTACAAGAAACATCCCATACCTGATAAACATCACCAAAAAGGGCAAGAGGAATCCTGAAGCACAATGGCTTCCCAAGAGGAGGTGGATGACCACTCTTGAGGTGATCCTGGGCCAACTTCACTTTTTTGGACCTCCTAAACAAACCATCTAACACTTCTTCTTTACCATGTAATCCAGCCCCCATTTTAACCACTAGAAGCCCATTTCCAACAGTTAGCTGCGTAGAATTAGAACTTCTATTGTTAAGAAATTGATATTGAGAACAGGATTGGGCACCAGGAAGCTGCTCCAAAAGTTCTTGCACAAAGTCCACATCTAAACCAAATCTATCCTGGTCTAGCCAATTTGCTAGTACGTCATAAAAAGAGCCAGGGTCATCATCGGCTCGAAATTCAGAAGAGATGCTGACAGAACCTGGTGAACTACAAAACTTGTCCAATGGAGATTGGTTCACTTTGCAACTGTCATTTTTATAACCTCATTTGTGAAGCGCTGAGCATTTTCAACATGCTTACAGAAAAATTTAAGAATGCCCTTCTGTTTAAATATTTCAGAACAAGCATTAACAACTTTTTTTGAAATCATTTCCCAAGCTGCAGATGAAGAATGGTCTTCTACTGATATCTCACCAATGTCATCCATCATACCTAAATCAGCAGATGAAAGAGTTCCAGATTTTTCATAAACGGAATTATCTTCAAGTTGCGGTTCAGCTGATGTCTGGACATCACTGGCTTCAACTGAACAACTCCTCAGGCAAGACAAAATATCATTTTCCTTAGGCGAAGGATCTGACAGAATCATCTGGATACTTCCATCATTATCAAAAGTCAAGTCATGACTTTCTTGATTAATTTGACTGTAAAAGTTGCCAAGTTGTGGCCTACAGAGGATAGTTGAACCCTTGGGTGGCAAGGCAGAACAAGAACATCTTCTGACCTTAAAAACAGGTCCAGAATCACCGCCATTCAAAACTTCACACACAAATAAAGAACCAGTAACCTTATCATGCCAACATGACTTATAACCTACAGGATAGATCTGATTAGAATCATGATAAGAGGGCCTTGTATCAACTTCTCCCAAAGAAAGAACAAAGAAATCTTCAAACTGCACCGGAAATCCCCCCTGGAGAATAAAACATACACAAATCAGAAAAGTAAAACAAGCTGAAATAACATCCATGTTATGTTGCTTACACAGAATCATTATTAGTTTTACATTATAACAAATAGAGAACATATAAACTTACATCACTTTGCCGAGAACCAATGCAACCATGTTCTTCTGTCCCAGCTTCTGTAAGTTTTACATTATTTCCAAAACAACGGGCAGAAACTTCCATACTTAGACCATTGGAAGGGAGCTCCTTGCAATAGCCTCTGAGCAAACTTTCCTTATTTTCAGCTAATCCATTGGCATGTAAGAGTCTTGACTTTCTTTTTCTAGATACGTAAGTCTTCTCAGTATTAGAAAGAGACCCCTCCCTCTTTATTTCAGATCCCATGGAATTGTAGTTAGGCATCAAGCCAAGAAAATATGCAACTTCAGATACTGAACCAAATGTCTTCCCATTTGGTGCACAGTATACTAAATACGGTTCACCACTGGCTGTTGACTGTCTAAATTCTACACGCCAACCATCCTCCAGTACGCCATGCCTTTCAGAAACATAATCTCTAAGAGCCTGTAAAACTATCTCATCTGGACTCCGGGATGGCATTCTAATAGCTGTATTATTGTTATTACTATGCTTTCCAAGCGAAAACCTCGAAATTAATTCCTCAAAGCTTCCACCCATAGTCTGTGTATGGTGCAATATATCTTCCAAGCCCACTTTAGCTGTGTGTGGCATTATCCCAGCAGCTTTTTCCAACCCATATCCGTTTCCAGAGTACGAGAAGTTTGAATATGTCACTGGGGCACCAAATGGATTGCCACCAAAAGAATTACCACCGGGAGTGTGCTTTCTATAATCAAAATAAGTTTAAGCAGTAACTACTTATGGACAACGTGCATTTAAAGAAATTTATCAAAATATTAACCAATGAGTAATAGACAAAAGAGCCAATAAAGACGAGTTAAGAAAATGTAAGGAAACAGTCGATAATGTAAGATAACTCTACCATTTAGTTTTAGAAAATTGGATCGTAAAAACCGATACCAGCTACAAAAATGTTAGAATCGCTTATGGATCATGCAAGCGGTAAGGCACTAGTTTATGATAATTAAGCTCGCCTGTTGCTTTAAAGGTAGCAGCTTAAAGCCGGAGAAAAAGAACAACAAAAGGCGTACATTTAAAGAAAGTAATCAAAATATTAACCACTGAGTAAATAGGCAAGCATGGCGAGTTTAGAAAACGTAAGAAAACGGTCCATAATATAGAATAACTCCACCATTTTAGTTTTAGAAATAAAGCTGCGGCAAAACCCAACCACCGCATAAATTTTAGAAGCACTTAAGGAAAATGCAAGTGATAAGGCACTAGTTATGCTCTATCAGTTTTAATTTGATTTATGGATGGCAGCTTTAAGCTGGAACACGACAACAAAAGGAATAATACCAAAAAAAAAAAAATATATATATATATATATATACGAATACCACGTGACCAAAAAGAAGTTAAAAGCTTCCCTTTTCTAGTTTTTGTACATGGTTTATATGAGACATTTGGGTTTTTCCAGCCCATGATGAGTTGTCCTAAGTCTATTAGGAACTATAATCTTAGAGGATTAAGTTGATTTCCCAATTGGAGTTGTTTTCCCAATGGATTGGTTTTCCCAATTGGAGTTGTTTTCCCAATTTAATTTGTTTTCCTAATTGGAGTTGATTTCTCAATTGGAGAAGGATTCATAACTAGATTCCAATTCCTTATTGAAGACCTTTATTATGTCTATATAAAGGGGCTATTACACTAGTTTTGAATTGGAATTTGTAAACAATAAATTGTACACCACGCAAGCAGTCAGAGTGAGAGAATATTGTAAGGGCAAAGTGTGTGTGAAAGAAGAGAAAAGAGAAAGAGTTATTTCTTGTTCTTTCAGGTTTTTCCTCAAGTCTTAATCCTAGAGGCTTGGCAAGATAATCCGTTGTACTCATAATAGATATAGTGATATTGTTGTTGCTGCCCCGTGACCGTAGGCACACATAGCCAAACCATGTTAATTCTTGGTGTTGTTTACCTTGGTTTTTTGTATTCAGTTCCTTAGTTTGTTCTGTTTTTTCCACTCTTAAACGTGATATTCACAACAGACATTACCCAGTTGTTTATGCTCTTATTCCACAATCCAATATAAAGTAGTCAGAAACAAGAAGCTTATTACGGGTCTGTCCTATTTTAAGAGTATAACTTTGTTTTAAACTTCCCAATTAACACAAAATATGTAAACAATATAAAATGCATCGATTTGGAAGTGGATTTTTCGTGCCAAAACTGGAATTTCTTAAGTGCACACGGAGCTAGTAGCATAGTGTTTTGTCTGACACGTGCACAGAGAGAGCAAGAAAGGCACACAAATGTCACGCCTCTCGATCTCATACAAGAGAAATCGGAGAGGCTAATTTCTATGGAGGTTCCCTAGGTCTAATTCAAGGCCATAGGGCATAATTCCTTTTTGGGTATTCCAAAGGTGGTTAATTGGAGTGATAATCTAAGTTAAAGCCGGATGCTTCGAAAAATATAAAACAAACATTCGAATGAGGAGTAGCCTTTCGGGTGCAAAACACGGGCACACGAACACAAAGCAGAACATTCCAAATCAATCACTAAATAATGGCATGATCATGGCCTTAGATGCTTGCATGCATGCATTGATAGCAATTAAGTGCTGCAACAAGAACTAGCCTATTACTATTAGCATGAAATTTATGATGGGAAATGTTGTAAACCACACAAAAACACAGCATGGCATTCTTGGTAAGTCTAAAAACCCTACCTCAATTCCTTTTTAAAATTAATTTGCACATACGAGCTCGAAAGATTGAAAGCAAAACTAGAAAAAGCAAAATTAAGTTCAGTAGGTGAAAATCTTAGCAAATGCATGAAATCCCCTACCTCAATTCGCGCATTTCCGGGAATTCGTCGACGTCGCTCGGCGGCGAGGCGTTGATATCGAGAATGTGCTTGGCCTTAACCCCAAGCGGCCACCGCTTGCTCCTAACCCCACCGCTCAAACAGTCCCCACAGACCCACTCCACCAGATTCACCGCCTGGCGGCCGCGCATTCCCGCGCATGTGAGGTGAAACCCGCGCTCGCAGCCGTCGCAGACCACCACGTTCCCGCGAACCTCGGGCTTGCCGCAGGCGGCGCATGCGGATCCTTGAGCTGAGCCGGGAACTCCGGCCAGGCCCCCGGGCGGCGGCGAGGGGTGGTCGTGGTAAGACCTCACGACGTCGAAGGAATCGGGTAGGGTTTCGGAAGGGGAAGGGATCTCATTGAGATCGATGCCGAGTACGGAGCGAGTTGGCTCGGCGTTGGCGGCGGCGGCTGCCGCTGCTCTGAGTTCGTCGGCAGCTGAATCGGTGAGTTCCATTTATCCGAGTCGGGGTTCGGAGCTCCAGGTCGGTGCTCGTACCATTTGATCGGACGGCTGAGATTTGACACGAACAGAAAAGAGAGGTTTTGGCTTTTGGGTTCGAGGGAACACACAGAGGAAAAAGAACACAGAAATGAAGACCGAAAGCGGACCGTATCGACCTGACACTCTCTCTCTAAACTTTTTTTTTTTTTCTTTAATTTTTTGAACTGCGATGTGAGGTGAGGGTAAAGTGGGGGCGGACTCACCGGAGATTTATATGTGTACCCGGCTGCCGTAGGCGACAGCTATACACGTGGACCAATCAGGAGAGGCGCAGACTGGGCTTCACCTTCCCCAAGAGTACGAATCTCTCCTTATCAGGATGAATCTCGTGACTTGTGGGCGTTTTTGTACTGTATACGGTTATATCACATGTATAATAATACTCCATTAGCATGTCTTTTTTATAGATTAAGTTGTGTCTCTCTCTGTTATGAATTTTCGTATTGTTCGTCGTAGTTAGCTTTCTGGCATGGTATGCATGGTGATTACGGATTTACGTGATCAATTATTTTGAGAAACGTGTTGTATTTGTGACAGGTGTGAGGTGTCTGACATGCGTATCTATTTCTCGTAAATGATGCAATTTGGCATTCGAGATTTGTGGATATAGGTTTGTTCAGCGTCACGACAGATGTTAGGCGTGCTTATCTCAAACGAAGTAGGCTTACGTGTCGCATACGAAAGATGAATTGATGAAAGAGGATTCTCCAGACAGTAGACAACTTCATTCAATTCACTAACGACAAGGTAACCCTAATGTAGTTACTCGTAATGGCAATGTAGTCATTCGTATAACAAACGTAAGGTGTCAGACAAAGTAGGCCTGTAAACATATCGTGAAAGATGTACTCAGGCGCTCGAGACAGTAAATGGCTCCATCAAGTGCATTTACGACAAAAAACTAACAAATTAGTTACTCGTATAATTCGACAAACATGAGGTGTCAAAATGCGTATCTCTCACGAAAGTTGTATGTGAGTTTTCCGAGATAGTAGATATAGCTTTATTTAGTGCGTTCACGACAACTTTAATGATCAATGCAGTTACTCTTGTAGTTTGATAAATGTGAGGTGTCAAACGGAGTAAGCGTATACATCTCTTGTGAAAGATATATGTAGTTGATTACAAAAATAAACAAATCCATTAGGTGCGTTTACGACAAAGAAACGTCAATGTAGTTACTCATATAATTTGACAAATATAAAGTGTCAGACAAAGCAGATGTTACTTATCCTCACAAAAGACATGTTTACACCGGAGACAGTAGGCATCTCCATTCTGTACGTTCATGGCAAATAAATGGCAATCACATAATTGTCATTCCACAAACTTCCTTTTAGCTGGATAATTTGGATCTCTCGTAGTTTTGTAAGCAATTACAAATGGTAGTTGTCTAAAAATAGGACGGGCAAAAAAGGTGACCTCTGCATTATAAGAGAAAGAGATGCATCCTTATGTGCTGCTATGTGTGGATTGTGAGTTCAAATGGTACGGACTTGGTTGTTTAGTGTCTTTATATGTGAAGCAGTCAGATAAAATAATCTAGGCTCGCCAATTTGATGTAACTCACATCTACTTACTTATTCTCTTCAAAATGTTGGTATAATTAGTTGGGTAGGAAACACGCTTGCTTGCTCTTTTTGTCCCTCTCTAGCGTACTATCGTTCCCTCCTCTCTCGTCTTCTCTTTAAAATTTGGAATAATGACAATATAAAATCCTCTTATTCAGTACATACCAAACACAGTATAAAATTTGGTCTTTAGTTCGATATACACCAAATGTCTAGTCAGTACTATATGATCCACAAACTAATTTATCTGACTCAAATAATTAAAATAGTCCGACTTACCAATCGAGGCAGGTTGTAGTTGGATTGTTTTCCATAAGGGTTTATCTGCATTAATAAATAATAATCAGTTACCATTACTATGCTAATTACTGGATTAGGGATGGATTATCTTTAATGACGCATATAAAAAAAATCCCAAGTTCTCGGCGGCCCAGATTTCATTTCCATTCAGAACCCATTTGGTTAAAAAAAAGTTTCCAAATTAAGGGACTTAAATGACATTAAAAGTTTTCTTATTACAGTATTATTTTATGTTTTATGGATTCTTCTAATTTACGAGGAAGAGTTCGAACATGTGTGCTATAAGTGCTCCTCTCTGAATTCAAGTTTGGATTTTTCTTCGCGTACTTAAAATATATCACTTGTATAAAAAAACATGTTTTTATTCCAAATTTCTTAACAAATAAAGCATTTATGGAAAATTCAAAGGGCTTATTTAGACTGTTTTTTAAATGACTGAAAGAGCTATTTGTGAAAATTTGGAACCAATCTTCAATAAAAATACAAATGAATCTTGAAAAAACACTTGAAGTGTTTCTTGTAAGAAACACATAAGTGCTTTTTGAATCTAGAAATATTTTATGTAAAAATATTTTTATTTATTTTAAAAACATTTCCGAACAAGTCCAAACAGTTTTTTTGAAATTAGTCCAAACGGACCCTTACATGATTTTTAGCTTTTGGCACTTTCCCCAAGTACGATCTCTATGTTGGAGGTTACCATGAGTCAAATTTTTAAGCAACTTATTAACTTTGTTTTTGTCAAACCTACCAACTCATTTGGATGTGATTGATTGCTAAAAGACTAAATATATGCCTAAATCAAATTTTAAAGTAAATTAGGTAGTCAATTTACTAATTACTTTCTGTTTCCCACTATAAACAGAAACCACTATGTATTTATACTTTATGGTTAAAAAAATCAATAGATATATCGACATCAATATCGGTTACTTTTGAAGGGAATTATAGAAATTTGTAACGGGATGAGTATACCAACTCATTTAGATTTAGTTGAAATTAGTGAAAAATTTCTCAAAATAAAAAAATCAACAGTTTGAAATCTGTAATTGATTTCGGCAATAATTTTGTAATGAATCAGTAAATATCATCGATATTCATTTATTTTCTTATATTTGACTGATATAGAGTGAAATATGAAAACATCCTATTTCCATTAAATTCTTAATTATTCAAATATTTCAACGAAATATCAATAATTTTGGAAATATTTAAAACACTGATTGTAACCCAATCGAAATTTCAGACAAAAGAAAACTACGTAGGGGGGTAAGCCCTTAAGTAATAGACACGTGTTGCGTAGCTAAAAATGTATGAATGCCAAGAAAGAAACAAAAAGTCATAGAGAACCCATTCCCATGGCCAGAAAATAAATATGACGGAATAGTGGCGGGTGCACCGACAGTTTGGCGCGCATGTGTTGCCGTTGGAAGCAAAGGTATGGGCCACGACCTCAATAGTATGGTCAATTGAACTTGCCCATATCCTATGCCACCAAAATGGTATACGAAATAATACACATGAACTATGCGATATTTTAAATTACTCGATACATGAAAAAATGGACGCTTGGAAAAGATTTAATTTTGTCGGTAATAACTAACGTTGAATATAAAGTTCAATCAAATCAAAATTTTGGAAATGAATAAATCAAACTAAAGAGTTTGATTCTGTCTTGCAACCAAAAATTAAAAATGAAAATGGATACCCGAACCAAACCAAGCGGTCTGATTTGGTTGATTTACAAGAGATTTGACAAACATAAAAAAAAAAATGAAAACTAATGAAAAAAGTTTTAAAACTTTGAGTTTTAACGATAAAGACAAAATAAATGGTAAAGTGAATAGTACCATGATTGATTTTTTAATGTAAAATATGGTTTTTCGTTAAAGTGAACAGTACCGAGATGTTTTCGTTAAAGTTCCCTAAAAAAATAGAGCATTAAACCCAACATTTACAACCAATGAGGTGGTCCAGTAGGACGAATTTCAAGTCCGTATTCTACACATCACGTTTTGAATTTGATTTATGACGATAATGAATCACACACTAGTAGACAAGAAAAAATTAAAAACATATGTGAGCCTTCTCGATTTCTAAAAAAAAAAGGACTGACGTGACAAAAGCAACCCAACATTTGCATTTTTTTTTTAATTTGTACGCCAAAATTTCATTTTCCTGTTGGAACGTCGGTTCAAAATCAAGGTTCCCATACAAGGAAAGGACCGAAAGCTATCTCGTACAAAAAGATGGCAATAAATGCGATTGCGAGGCAATGGCGTTTTCGAAATTAGATCCCAAATCAATGGGCCGAATCCCACGCCAAACTCCGCAACAAACAAAATTAATGTGATTTGGGAGGCGGTCACATGCAGGGCCCCGATTCTGCCGGCCCACGTCGGGTTTTACCCACTTAACCACAAAACGGTGTCGTCCCAAGTCTCGTCCGCCTGCCTCACCGCAAAAAGTCCTCGCCGGTTACCAAAAAAAAAAAAAAAAAAAAGAACCTCCATTATTTAATGTCCTCCCATTTTCTCAGAGAGTGGACTCACTCTAAAGCTCTCATTGACGCTTGCTGGTTCTGATCGCTCGCATTCGCCTCAGTCCTCCTCGCGCTCCGCTCTCCGGTACTCTCTCTCTCTCTCTCCTCGCTCTCTCTCTTTCTCTCTCTAGGATTGTATGCGCATTCGCCGATTCGAAATCGCACGCACATTTCATACAATCGATGCTTGCTCTACAGCTTTCGTTTTCGTTTCGAAGCTCCGATTGAATCGGTATAAGTGTATGTATACGTGTATATATACACTGTCGAGTTGGATGATAATTTGTGAATTTTAGGGGGAAATCGTAGGATCCGCGTTCAGGCTTATTGATTTACTGTTGCGAGTACTGTTTTTGATTTTGTGGAGTGATTGGAGCCCTAGATCTTCTGCTTGGTTAAGTTTTGCTTTATCGGAATAATGTTTGTTTATTCATTTTCTTCATGATTTTTTTCGTGTATTATTGTCATTATTTAGTTGTTTTTTTCACTGATTTTCCATTTTTCTAGATCTTTCGAGCAACCGGAATTGAAGTGATATCTGGATTCTGTGCTTTTGCTAGGCGATTGTTTACTGCGTAGAGAATTGTGGATGTTTGTTTCGGTACATTTGAGTTTTCGTGTTCACGGTCGAAATTCGATCGAATTCAACGTTTATGATCTTTTGTTTCCCGATTTAATTATTATCATTATTAAGTAGGGCTTTCATAATGCATTGGAGAATTGGAGAAGTGTGTTGTCGTTTTCCGGATCTTTCAAGCAACTGGAATTGAATTTCTATGTCGATTTTTGTGCTGTTGCTATGTGATTGTTAACCGCATTTAGACTTATCGATGGTGGAAATTCTTTGGTTTCAGATTTGGAAGGCTAGCAGCAATGTCAGAGAACGCTCTTAGAGATCTCAATACCATACCTGGATCTGAGAGGAAGAATGAAAGCTCTAGCAAAGGGGGCATGACTAAGCCCGTCGTTGTGAATGCTAATGAAAATCATGAAGAATGCCCGAAGAAAACCACAGCTTCAGTGGGTTCACTTTCTATAAATGGCGAGGAAGTTGCAAATTCCGTACCCGAGGTTGGAATTGCTGAAGTAGAATACATTGAGTCTGAGAATCTGAATGATCTAGAAGATGTTGATACGAGCCTCAAGGTATTTGTTGTGTTTTTGTGTAAACCTTGGCATTTTTTACCTTTCACCATTTTTCTGTGTGCGAGGTAACTTTATGATGTGTTTGATGTTTCAGACACTACTAACTGGACTAGAGTCTAAAGATTGGGTTCTGGTGTGTGAAGCACTCAATAATGTTCGTCGGTTTTCTATATTTCATAAGGAAGCCATGCTTGATATGTTGTAAGTCTCATGTTCTTACATGATGTTCGTGAGCAAAAGAAGTTTCATGTACTATTGATGATTGTAAGTGTTGTCCAATTTAATTATCGTCATCATTTTGTTCAACAGGGGAGATGTGATATCGCTTGTTGTAAAGTCACTGAAGAATCCAAGAAGTGCTGTTTGCAAAACTGCTATAATGACATCTGCAGATATTTTCAATGCCTACAATGATCACGTGATTGATTCTTTGGACCCTATGGTAACATGAATTCTATGAAACTTTTCTGTGGCATCGCTTTACATTGTTTGTAAAGGACTCTTCATTTATATGCAATTAATCCATAGTTATTTTTCCCCAATTTGATCAATCTTGACTCATGCAGCTTACACAACTTCTTCTAAAGTCGTCACAAGACAAGCGATTTGTGTGTGAGGCAGCTGAGAGAGCTTTAGTAGCGATGACCACATGGGTTTCCCCTACATTGTTGTTACCAAAGTTGCAACCATATCTGAAGAACAGAAATCCTAGAGTTCGAGCGAAGGCATCAACGTGTTTTTGTCGAAGTGTTCCACGACTGGTAAGATTGTTTATTTCATTTTTCTGTTCTTATCAGAAGAAGTGATATCTGCTTTCTTTCATGCATTTGGTTTTGGTGTTTTGATTGGTTCTTGGAAAATATGAGGTATGTTGAGGATGCTAAATAGTTCTTAGGAGAAATCTGATTTGACTTATTTTACCTCAACTGCTGCCAAACTGGTTTAGCTTTTGCTTACAGTTTAGGACCCGTGCCGTCAAACTGGAATTTACAAAAATGGCGTAACTGTTGGAGTTTCATTGAATGTGGTTGTTTCTATGCTTATACTATGTAGATTCGCTCATCTATTCCTTATTTTTGTATTTACTTTTCTTTACACGTGATGTATGCTCAAAAACAGTAACCGTGTGCTTTTGTCCTCTATAATTCAATTGCATTTTCCAACCCACGTCTCTATATGTGATCTTCTCCTTGAGTGTTCCTAGTTATACTGTTGTACCTTGCCCAATAACTTGTCTGTTATCAAATATTTGTACATCGAGAAATTGAACAAGTATATTGCAGAGCTCATTCTGCAAGACCTTCAATTAGACGTGGTGCATCTTATTTCTTCCTGTTATATGCTCATCTCGTGTCCTGCCAACAGGGTGTTGAAGGTATTAAAGCGTATGGGTTTGACAAATTAATTCAGATCGCTGCATCTCAGCTTAGTGACCAACTTCCTGAGTCAAGGGAGGCTGCTCGGATCCTCCTCCTGGAGCTGCAGACTGTTTACGATAAATTTGATGATCCCCCTCCAGCAGCAGTGTGCGAGCATCCAGAAACGAGCTCAGCAGCAGCGTCTGAGCTCCCAGAAACGAGCTCATGGGAGAACTTTTGTCAGTCAAAACTCTCGCCTCTCAGTGCACAAGCTGTTCTTCGGGTAACCAGTGTCGCTCGGGAAGGTCTTGTTATGGGATCTTGACACAGGTTTATATTGAAACACGCACGAGCTTTAGTAGCATTGTATCTCCATTTTCCAACATATATGAGCTTTAGGGAAAAGGCCTATATCTGCCATTGATTTGATTTGCTTGGTCAATTTCTCTTTTCATTTTTTCGTGCTTGTAAATCCTTCGAAAGGTTGAGATATTTGGTCTTACAGTTGGAGCATGTAGTTGAGCCATAGTTTTACGATAATATTCTTCACACATCGCGATATTACAGCTGGGTTTTGTTCCTCCGATCATTGCTGTTGAAATGTTGAGGTGTTTCTTTTACTCAATCATTTGATGTCTATCTGCTTACACAGTGACAATGTTCCTTCCTCACCCATATTTTTGGGTGAAAAGTCCAATCAGCCCATGCATGATTAGCCAACTACAACTGATTAGCTTTGGTTTTAGATATTTTGTGATCATGATGTGTTTATTACTCTCTTTTGCTTTTGCGTTTTTCTCAACCAGAGTAGGGATGTTCGATCACGTCATTTGTCGAATCTCTTAACATCCAAGCGGGATAGCCCCGATTCACAAAACCCTACCCCAGTGTCACCCCAAGTGCGGGGGGGCTCACTTTTGTTGCAAGAGGGTCTCTTAGCGTGACATTTCAAATGTCATAAGCTGTTTCAGTAATGAAAATCTCGATCTGTGCGCATCAAACTTGACCTTTTTTTAAGGGCTTGTAGCTGAAGCGGTTAAAGATAAGCATCATTACTTAATACTTTAGGTCCCATGCTAGGCCAGAGAATTTATGAAGGAAGAAAAACATGAAAATCAAAGTGAGCAGAGAGGAGGAAGACAAACAGAAAGATTTAGGGCTTGTTTGCAAGTGTTTTTAAAATGACTGAAAGTGCCTTTAGAGAAATATTTGTGGGTTTCAAAAGAACTTAAAGTGCTTCAAAAAACATTTTAAACCAAAAACGTTTTCAGCCATTTCAAAAGCACTTCTAAACGAGCTCTTAAACCGTGAATCTTCCCAAGATTTTATGTCTGAATTCTTATAATTTGGTTCATTACTAACCACTCCACGATAAAGACTGATTAACCCTATCTCCTTTATATTTATATTATAACTCTTCTTATTTCTCAGTGTTTTAGGTACTAATCCCACTTTATATTGTCATCAATTCCTTTGTCCAATCACAAATTAGTATACTCTATCCCTCTTCTCGCCAACAAATTTCATCTTTCCAGGGCTTCTTCTAAGAATCTGATTCGTTTTCGACTTCGATTCAGACTCTCGTTGAGCTGAATTCATACAACAAGTACTGGTTGCTTGGGTGAGAAGTAAGTTAATAAAGTTATGCTCCAATGAGTGACAAAATTGGAGGTGTTGCAGCGCAGATTGTGGCAATGGCGATCTTCATGTCAGTAATATTGTTTTTTTTCGGAATCGGCTTCTTGATCTTAGTCCATGTGTGGATCGTTGGGAGGGCTTTCAGAAGAGGAGGACTTGGCGGCAATGCCTTAACGGCAGCTGCCATGGCCGCCGGCAGAACTGCCACCAGTGGCACCGCCACAACGTGCATGTCGAAAGACGACGTAGAGAAACTTCCAAGCTATGATTACGAAGCTAATTACAAAAGTAGCCCTGTGGATTGTGTAGTGTGCTTGGACAACTTCAAGATGGGCGAGAAGTGCAGGCTGTTGCCTTTGTGCAGGCACAGCTTCCATGCCCATTGCGTTGATGCGTGGCTTTTGAGGACACCGATTTGTCCGATATGCCGGGCCGGAGCTGGCACTCCTGCTGGTTTGGCCGGGAAGGGAGTGCCGGTTGCCGATGCCGGCGTTGAATTAACGGAATTAACGGAGAGTCAAACAAGTGGAAGCGGGCTTTTGAGTGATGCTAGAGTTGACTTGGGGGAGAGGCAGGCAATAGAAAGTGGGCACCCGTCACCCGAGTGATGGTATAGTAAAGCAATGAGTTTTGAGAAATAAGCAAAAGGAAACGGAAAGTGTAATTCACACACTTATTTATACTTCCCACACACCCTTGTTTATTTTTTGTTATTGATTTTCTTCAAGTCATTTGATTTGAAGTTCGAAAATTAAGAGGGGTGTGTAAAAGTAAAAATAAGTGTGTGGATAGCACTATCCTAACCAAAACTTGGCGATTTGAGGCCAAATGAGTTTAGGTTGAGAATCTGTATAAGATAATTTACATGTAACATACTAATATATAGTTCTGAAAGTTAATGGTTAGTGTACATTGCCTTTTAAGTACCTTAGATTTATCTGTCAAATTCTCTAAAATTTTCAAGCGCATATCCGTCTCTTATGTCATATATTGGTAATCTAGAAATTTCAAAGATTCCTTGTGTATGTTTGGATTATAACGTTTTATACATCCTGTAATTCCCTGTCAAATTTGTTGTTGCTCGGTTGTACCTTTATTTTATGTGGGCAAAGGAACAACATTCTCTCCAGATTCCTTCCATCCGGATCATCTGGATCCCTTCTATTCAGATCCTCTAGATCCTTTAATCATGTATATTACAACGACATCATCGGGATCGTAATCGGGATCAATGACTTCGCAGTCCTGTTCGAGGCAAGGTTGCGATCGATGGCTTTGCAGCCAAGGGAACTTTTAACAAAAACTTTTATTGTCCTTTTGTCCACCTTCCTAAATAAAACATACTCTTCATTGCTTTGACATAAACTACAATGTGTTTTTGTATTGCCATATAAACTGCAAGAGCTCTTCTTTTTATTTTTATTTTTTTATCATAACTGAGATTTCCATTACTGTAAACAAACAGAGTACAAGAGTTTTGGGGAGGAAGCCTCATTAAAAACCTCCAAAGAAGAGGGAAAAAGAGTGCTTCAAACTGCAAGAGCTCTTCCAGCAATTTAATTGTTATTTTTTTTAGAGTTACACCATTATGTAATGTTATCGATTCATTCATACTGTAACATGGAATGATTTAAGTTCAACTCCTGTAAATGACTCATTGTGTGATTTGGCCTACATTTTCCACTACTTAGTATAAATATATGGTTATAATAAAAAGAAACTAAAATTCTCCACTTGTACGTAGAACGTTTTAGGTTTGAATTTTGTAAATGACGAGTTCATACCAAATTATTACGGTTCCACTTCTTATTGTAAATATATGGTTGTAATACTTTTTTTTTTCTCCTCCTCTCTACCTTGTTTAATCACGTTTTGTAGTTTTCGGGGAAAGAAATGAAAACAAATATAAAGTGAATCAGCCATAGAACCTGAAATAAGTACTTTAAGAGCAATCAGTATCTTTCGGGGAAAGATTCTGCTGCTTCAATTTCTTAGCCCCATTTACAGGGTCCAAAAAATTGATGTGCTTGAAATTGGAGCAGCAGAATCTTTCCCCAAAGAAACTGATTAAAGCTCTTGTTGGAATTGAGCGATCATATATATGCAAAGGGAAACCAGTTTGAATGTAGGATGTAAACTGCTAGCTATGATACAGGTGATGTATAAGATTAATTTCAAGATAACAACTAATGAGGAGATTGAAGTGTTGAGAATACATACTCGCATAGCAACAATGTATCACAACCACCATCATATTAGATTCTTACTTAGCTGATAAGTTTGTGATGTGTTGTGATTAATTAGTTGTATTATGTTGAGCTGGCTTTTATATTTGGGATAGGATATTTATGTATAAATACCTTGTGTATGGTTATGTGAGATTAATGAATAACCACAGTTATAATTTTCTCTCTCTCTCTCTACAATACTCTCATTCTCTCTAAAAGCTTTTCTCTCTGGATTCGAAGTTTCAACATGGTATCATCACCGTTGTCTAACCGACTTCGATCCGACGCTTCTCCATCTTCTTGATTTTCTTACCTCCCAAACAGATCGCTGCTTCTTTGATCTCTTTCTTCTCTTAATTCCGCAAATATTGATATGACGACTGCCGCAAATTCCTCCGATTCTACTTCTCAACCTCCTGCAAACCCTAATTTTCCAGCGAATCTCCCTCGCAATGACATCTCCAACTCCTTGATCATGTCGATTGGATCGATTTCCATTGCAAATGTTGCTGGAATGGTTCCGACGAAGCTCAATCGTCAGAATTATATAACTTGGCACAGTCTCTTCATCCCTGTCCTTAAGCATTTCAAGCTTCTTGGCCTTGTCAATGGCGAGGATTTGTGTCCTCCTAAATTTGTCCGAAACTCATCCAGTGATTGTGTTCTCAATGATTCTTTTGAAGCCTGGTGTGAGCGTGATTAGATTCTGACCATTTGGATCAACTCTACTCTTTCTGAAGACCTTCTTCCTTTGACCATTGACATAGAAGACTCTTACTCTCTTTGGCAATCTCTTGAGCGGCGCTTCTCTGGTGCTTCTCGCACACATGTGCACAGTCTTCGTTCGAAGATCCAAACAATTCAGAAAGGTGATTCTTCCATGACCGACTTTCTGAATTCCATTAAAGATATCTCTGACAAACTTGCAGCTGCTGGAGAACCACTTACTGAATCTGATCTCGTGGTGTATATTTTATCTGGATTACTGGATGAATACGAATGGTTTGTTGACTATATTGAAACTCGAAATGAAGTTGTGATTGCTGATGAACTTCATGGCCTCTTATTGAGCAAAGAAATCTCTATTAAAAAATGTAAAACCAGAGCTTCTTCCTCATCTACTGCACCATTTCAGGCCTATGCTGCTCAATCAGTCAATTCTAGAGGTATCTCGAATAGAGGCAACTAGAACAACAATAATTTTTGAAATCGAAATCGAAATCGTTCTAATCAGAATCGCAATTTTGGGGGCAACAAACCTAACAACTGGAACAACAACAATTCTAGTGGTCCCCTTGGTGCTGGTCCTTCTCACCAAAACTATGGTCAACCTTTCTTCTCTGGTCGTTCTGTACGGTGCTAGTTATGTCTACAATATGGTCACTGGGCTCTTACATGCAATCGTCTATCTTAGTTTGCTTCCACCTCAACCAACACCTTCACTCAACCTCCTACAGCAATGTCTGCCATGACTTCTTCTGCACTTCCTAGCTATTGGCTCACTGACAGTGGTGCATCCCATCATGTCACACCTGATCCCTCTACATTCAATTCTGCCACTCTTTATTTTGGAAGTGATCAACTCTTCGTTGGAGATGGAAAAGGTCTATGCATTTCTCATACCGGTTCTGCCATCATTCACACAAAGCATGCTTCTTTTAAATTGAATGATGTTCTCTTAGTTCCTCAGGCATCACATAACTTGTTATCTGTTTACAAGTTTATCTATGACAATTGGTGTTCCCTGAAATTTGATCATTTTGGGTTCTTTGTCAAGGACTTAAGAACTGCGAAGACGCTTTTCCAAGGCCCCAGTGAAGGCGGCTTGTACCCCTTTTACTGGAATGCCTCCAATGGAGTTTCTGGCATTGCAATATCTCTCACTGCTCTCATGGTTGCTAAAGCTGACATTCACATTTGGCATCGACGACTTGGACACCTTTCTAGGGGCGTTTTAGTCTGTTATGCATAAGAATAATCTCCTTGTACTTGGTTCTGTTAGGAATTTGTCAGTGTGTACTGCATGTCAATTTGGGAAAGCTTCTAAGCTCCCATTTCCTTCTTTACCTTGTACTTCCATTAGACCACTTAAGCTTCTCCACACTTATGTATGAGGTCCCTCCCCTACACTTTCTTGTACTGGTTACAGATTCTATCTAATAATAGTGGATGATTTTTCTAAATACAGTTGGCTTTGTCCTCTCTATTTCAAGTCTGATGTCTTCTCTCTCTCAAGACATTTATTTTAAAGATTCAAACTCTTCTTGATTTCAAAGTTTAACGTATAAGATCAGATTCAGGGGGTGAATTCTTGAATAAGTCATTTCAAGGTTTTCTTAATGATCAAGGCATCACTCACCAGTTGAATTGCCTTCACACTCCTGAGTAAAATGGGTGTGCAGAGCGAAAGCATAGACACGTTGTGGAAATGGGCAGAACACTGTTATCTCAGAGTGGTTTACCGGTTAAGTTTTGGGTTGAAGCTTTTCAAACTGCTGTCTATCTCATTAATCGGTTACCTTCTCAATCTTCTGTGATTAGTCCTTGGGAGCTCATATTTCATGCTTCTCCAAAGTATAACACAATGAAGACTTTTGGATGTGCGTGTTATACATGGTTACAACCTTATTCCACTGATAAATTGGACTCCAAGAGTAAACAATGTGTTTTTCTGGGTTATAGTTTGAATCATAGTGGCTATAGGTGCTTGGATCCAATCACCAATAGACTCTACATCTCGAGACATGTTGTGTTTGATGAGTCCTTATTCCCTTATAAGAATATTCTTTCTCAAGTTTCATATCCCTAATCATATCCTTCACAGCTCTCCAATCTATCTATGTCTCTATCTCTTCATTTACCCGTACCTCATTCTAAGCTACAATCCCATACTTCAACTTCTCATTCTGAACACCAAGATACAACTTCTTCCATTCCCGATTTGCTTCCCTCTCCCACTACATCTTCTCGCACATGAGTTTCTCCCCCTACCTTACCTCCTTCAGAATCATCTTCATCATCTTTATTTCATCTTCCAGCTTCTGTCAATCATCACTCTATGATTACAAGAGCAAAGGCCGGTATTCATAAACCCAAGGTGTTCACTGTTACTAAACACCAACTCTCATCTGCAGTAGATTCTCTTACTAAGTTACCCCATACTCCATCCACTTTTCTCCAAACCTCTAAGCACTTTCACTGGATGGAAGCTATGCAATCTGAGTTTCAAGCATTGCAATCTACTGGCACTTGGGAATTGGTTCCTCATAATCCAACTTACAATCTTGTTGGCTGTAAATGGGTGTTCAAAGTTAAGCACAAACCAGATGGTACCATTGAACGGTACAAGGCAAGACTTGTTGCTAAAGGTTTTCACCAACAGGAATGTTTGGACTTCTCTGAAACCTTTAGTCTAGTTGCAAAGCCTACTACTATCAGGATATTACTCTCCATTACAGTTAACTATGATTGGTTTATACACCAACTGGATGTAAGTAATGCATTCCTTCATGGTCATTTAAAAAAAGATGTATATATGATTCAGCCCCCTGGTTTTGTAGACCCTTCCAACCCTCATCATGTCTGCAAGCTTTGGAAATCACTTTATGGTCTTAAACAAGCTCCTCGAGCTTGGTATGAGGCTTTCTACAATGCTATTTTTTCTCTGGGATTCAGTTCTTCATACTCTGATACAAGTCTTTTCATCAAACGGGATACTTCCATTACTTTTATATTAGTATATGTTGATGATATAATCATCACTGGAAGTTAACTATTGAGTGTCAATCTATTATCTCCAAACTGCAAACGTTGTTTCCTATTAAAGATATGGGCGATATTCACTATTTTTAGGCATTGAAGTTCAACGATTAGCAAAGGGCTTGCTTATGCACCAGTCTAAGTATGCATTAGATTTGGTCCGAAAGACTGATATGCTTGGTACTAAACCTTGTGCAACACCTGTGTCTCCTTCCAAACTGGATCACTCCGGCACACTATTATCTGATCCCACTTATTACAGGTCTACAATTGGTGCTTTACAGTATCTAACTTGGACCAGGCCTGATTTAGCCTTTGTTGTCAATCAAGTTTGCCAATATATGCATTCTCCTATAACCATTCATCTTCAAGCAGTTAAGCGTATCCTGCGCTATCTCAAGGGCACGGTTGATTCAGGGCTTTGGATCATTAAAGGTACTCAATGTCTTACTGCTTGGTCCGATGCAGATTGGGCAGGTTGCCCTGTGGATAGAAGTTCCATCAGTGGCTATTACGTGTTCCTAGGTCCTAATCTCATTTCTTGGAGTGCTAAGAAACAAGCCACAGTTGTTAGATCATCAACCGAGGCTGAGTATAGGTCTCTTGCACACACTGCGACTGAGATAACCTGGGTGTGCAAGATTCGGCACGATATATCCTTCCTTTTGCTCAAGACACCGATCATCTACTACGACAAAAAAAAGTGCCATTGTTTTTGCATTCAATCCTGTTTTCCATGCTAAGACCAAGCATGTGGAAATAAACTATCATTACATAAGTTTTAGTTAGTCATATTGGTGTCCAACATGTTGCTTCACTTCTTCAACTTGCGGATATTTTCACCAAATCTTTGGCTGCTGATCGGTTTGCTGTTCTTGCTTCCAAGCTCCCAGTTCAATCCTCTTCCTTCAGCTTGAGGGAGTGTGTTGAGAATACATACTCGCATAGTAACAATGTATCACAACCACCATCAGATTAGATTCTTACTTAGTTGATAAGTTTATGATGTGTTGTAATTAGTTAGTTGTATTATGCTGATCTGGCTTTTATATTTGGGATATGATGTTTATGTATAAATACCTTGTTTATGGTTCTGTGAGATTAATGAATAACCACAGTTATAATTTTCTCTCTCTCTCTCTCTCTACAATACTCTCATTCTCTCTAAAAGCTTTTCTCTCTGGATTCTAAGTTTCAACATGAAGTTGCGCATTCAGGCAAGTCTCTTCTAAATCTATCCATCACGGTTAACGAATCTAATGTTTGTACTCGCAAGTATGTTTTCCAGTATTTCAGTTATTAATTACAAACCTGATAACGTTAGTACATCTATATCTGTTCATGTCATTCACATTTGCCGATCCCGGAGTATTATTTCTGTTGAATGTAGCTTGATAAGAAGCTTTCAAAGGGTTTTTATTTTTTATTTTTCATTTTTTATTAACACTGAGCATCCTCAACCAAACCTTCCTAATTTTGCTGATAAGGTAGTTCAATTTTATTATACAACACTGCAAACAATTTGGAATTTTAAACCCTTAGGATTTTGAGTTGTTATTATGTAGGATGGGCCATATTTAGATTATCTGCATCTTCTTTGTTTATGCAGGAAATACTAGTTAGCCTCCCACCCTCCCTTTCTTCCTTCCACTCTCTTTTTATTTCTAGAGATCTATAATCTGCATTGGACTTTATCAGACAACTGATTTCTTTTTCACGGAGAGAGTGGACATGTTGATTGCACGCTTTTGGGCACATCTTTTACGAATAACTAGGTAAATAATAAAGAAGCTAAAGTTTTGTCATTAAGTTTGTTGTTAAATAGTTTTGTATATTGTTAGTTTAGTTAAGGGCATTAGTGTAATCTGTTAGAGAGCCCACAAGTATATATATTAACATTGTTGTAATTATTCATTACATTGAATGAAAGAGTAAAGTTTAGATTCTATATGGTATCACGCCCTTCTTACCTCCCGGCTCTCTCCCTCTCGATCTTCTTCACTCCTGCTCCCAATCTTTGATTTCTTCATCAATTTTCCTGAAATTCTTCATCGTTCTTCCTCAATCGCAACCTCTGTGTTGTTAATTTGGTCTATATTTCTGTGATTTGTCATGGCATCTCCGTCTGGTTCGTCTTCTCCCCGTGCATCAGTGCAGGTTCCAAACCTTAATACCTCAAATTCTTCGTTTTCTTCGAATTCGTATGCCTCTCTTACGATTCAAAACATTGGAAGTATGGTGCCTATCAAACTTAAACGCTCCAATTATCTTCCATGGCGTGCTTTATTTGCTCCAATTTTGCGCTGCTATAAGCTTTTTGGCGTCGTTAATAGCACCGACATCTGTCTGCCTCCTCTTCGTTCTAATCAATCTCTCATTCCTGCTTTTGAGATATGGTATGAAAAAGATCAGAATCTTTTGATCTGGTTG